ACTGGTGATGCTCTTTACACCGGCCGAGCCAATATTTCTCGGGAAAACGTCTCCGAGTGCCGGGACAAACTTGTGTCTGAAGTCGAGTCTTTGCTGAACAGAGTCTCGGATTGGGGGCGACTAAATATAGTCCAGTTTAACCCCCAGAAGACACAAGTTTGCGCGTTAACCGCTAAAAAGAACCCCTTTGTCGTATCTCCTCAGTTTCAAGGCACTCCCCTTGTTGCCTCAGCCAGTATCGGAATCCTCTGCGTTGACATATCGAGTGACGTGCAGTTTCGTGGTCACTTGGAAGAGAAAGCCAAATTGGCCTCTAAAAATCTTGGCGTTCTCAGCAGAGCGGGACAGTATTTCATGCCGGCATACCGCCTGCGACTTTACAAGGCGCAGGTTCGGCCGCACATGGAATACTGTTCCCATCTCTGGGCTGGGGCTCCCCAGTACCAGCTCCTTCCACTTGACCGCATCCAGCGCAGAGCGGCTCGAATCGTCGACGACCGAGTGCTTTCCGATCGGCTCGATTCACTGGCACTGCGAAGAGATGTTGCATCTCTTTGCATTTTATTTCGCATATACCATGAGAGTGCTCTGAGGAATTGTTCGGATTAATCCCAGCCGCCAAATTTCGTGAACGCACTACGCGGCAAACGTCCCGATACCATCCACACCATCTGGATGCTTGGCGGTCCACCACAGTACGTTTCAAAAGGAGTTTTATTCCGCGTACAACCTCTCTGTAGAATAGTTTACCACCGGCGATTTTTGCGGACCGATACGACCTGGGGACATTCAAGAACCAAGAGCTTAGTCCTCTCTAAAGGGCCGTCAACGCACCTGCAATTCCCCCTGGTGTTGCGGTTGATCATGGGCGGCGGTAGTCACTTAACATCAGGTGAGCCGCATGCTCGTTTGCCCCCTCTTCTATAAAAAAAAAATATATTTCCATTTTTTCTTCATCTGTAGTTGTAACGCGCCGCGCCGGGTACCAGTTAGTATAGGTCGCGCCACGAAAGATGAAATTAAATGGAAGTGCGCAGAAGCGAAAAATAGGTGTCGGCGCGGTGAGGTGTGAGGTACGGGGAAGCGAAACCATAGCAACGGGCGACTCGCTACTCCTACGTCGTTTGTTCCTGCGTCCCGTCGCCCGCGCAACTTCTTGTGTCGTCTTGTGTACTATCGATATCGAAAGTATTAGCAACTACCTGTTATAAAATTTTAAATTTTTGCGATTATTTTTGTACTTTTAAAAATATTGTTTATAATATTTTCAAATAGTGTGCAAATATTTATTACTTTATAAATTATTTTGGGACTATTTAAAATAGCGTAATTCGTAGCAAATTGTATAAAGTTGTAAATATTTTGTTATTTTCTACATGATGATTTTTTTTTGTAAATTATTGCATGTAAAATATCATCGTATCGTATAGTATAGTTTTGTAATGTTGAACGGTTGGTAAATGAAAGGAAGACGTGTTTCTCTACTCAAGACTTTAATTATACTGTCACTTAAACCTAAGAGTAAGTACATTTATTAACATATGCTAGTAGGGTGGAGGCACATACACTACACCTACCCCGATACTTAAAAAAAAGGAAAGTTCTCTATTTACTTTTTTTTTACATTTTAGTTTTAATGAATCTTATAACATAATAATAATTTTAATATTGAATAATTTGTAATATTTATTTTTAATCTTTTAATATTGAAGATTAAAATAAAATACAATGTTACATAGGCTTTAAATGTATATAATTTCTAATTGGAATAAAATAACGTAGTTAAACAAAATATAAAACTAACTTCATTTAAAATAAATTATAATCTCATGATCATGATCAGATTATACCTACCATGGTTATACATAATCATATTATTAAGTCATTCGTGATACGCATGCGATTTTCTTTCGTTAACATTTTTATTTCGTACGACATTAAGCCTGTCGTATTTTTGATATTAATCAATGTCACAACTGCACGTTAACATGAACATACCACCTATCATACCATATACTTATTAATATTTTTTTTTTACATTTATTTTCACTCGAGATTTATTACATTAACTATATGTTCTAGTTAGAAGTTATGATTTAAAAGTTCAAACAATATAAAACTGAAAATAAACTATTACATTTCATATTAAGCAGTACCTGCTCTACCTTTATATATATTTATTCACATTTGTATTCATAATTGTATATACTTTATATTTAATTTATTTATACCTTTATATTTGTTTAACTATTGCTTTCATGATCTACACAAATAGGTTAGACATTAATATTCTACTATATTTTCAGAAATTAATGACTTATAAAAGTTAAAGCATGTGATTTGCAGGTTTAATGAATATAACACCGATAATATTACATTTCATTTAAATATGAAAAGAGCAAAAACATAATGTAATGCAACGCAAATATCATCGCTATCAGCAATAACGGGAATCAAAATACAACTTGCAATCCCAGTCGCGTAAGCGGTTTGTGACACCTACGTTTTAAATTTCTAAGTAGGTAGGTACGTATAAGGCTACGTTTGCAATTACATCGGACTATGATCACAAGGTGTGGTGATTCATACCTAACATTAAGTAACTTCCATAATATGTTATAATATGAATGCAAGTAAAATATACCTTAAAACTTGGAACAGATACTTAAAAATACTTAGTTGCATTGTTAATAATAAAATATTACTTTTACTTCTAAGAAATACGTTTATCTTAATTGGGACAGAAATTTATATAAAAAGAGAATACACTGTTAGGTACACAGCTAAAGTTTTTTTTTTACAAAATATTTATTTACATTGGAAAAGCCAATTTTATTTCAAGCAGGTGTCACAATTTTAGGTTTTCGTTGCCTTTTTTATAGAAAAAAAAAACGATTACATTATACAATTTACAATAATAGTGTATCGATAACCTTTGGACTTGATTATAATAAGCTTTATATAAATGTAGTTCAAAATTGTACACATTTTACATAAGAAAACATGAGACAGAAAAAAAATTATTTAAAGTAGAATCATTGTACGAATCAATGTGCCTAAATATGAAAAAATCTCGTAAATTTATATAAATTTACGCGAAAGTGTACTTATGATATTGGGATGATATATTTTTATTTGTTTACGTGTAGTTGTGCGAATCGAACCCTATAGCTGTTATATGTGCAACTTGCTAGTAGCATTTTGGGTAGCGTTAATAGTCCTAATATAGAAATGCAAAATAACCATCTATCCACTATTAGATTATCATACATTTATCACACTTTTTAATTTGCTCGGGGATCCCCTTATTATCCTGTATTGTCATCAATTATTAGGCCTTTTTCCAAAATTCTTGTACGTACTTTCTTTTTTCTTCTTAATATTTTTGACCTTTAGCTAGCTCTATTTCTCTGTATTCACTTATATATTTATTTATTTATTAGATACCGGGAATCGGAGTATTATTTCATTTCATTTATATTTTATTTCGTGATATTTATCACGCGGGTACTTTATAAATATGGGCCCCCCATTTATTTGGGTATTATATTACATTTTCGTAACATTCATTTCATTTTATTGGTACATATTTTTTTTATTTTATATCAAGGTAAAATGTACCTTGGGTTGTGCGCACAACCTTGAGGTCTACGTTTAAGTCATTAAAAGGACTCCAACAATTGTCACTGAGGAAAACTAAGTTCGCACCATGATCCAACGAAGGATGTGACCTCAATGTACCATTATTAAGGGTAACAAATTTAAGACTTCTCTGGTCCCTAACAGTACTAATATGAGTAAACTCAGTTACATCACTTGTGCTGAAGGCGTTGTTCCCTAGTACCCGTTACTCCGATTTCATCGTCCAATCACGGAAACGTACCCTGCTCGAGGACTATACGCTATACCAGTGTTGTACGTTCCCATATCTCTCCATTACTTATTGGTCAATGTCATATTTTTATTTATTTTTATTATTGCCATAAATATTTATTCCTTCTTTATTTCTTCATTACCTTGTTCTTTATTTATATACTTTCGTGCCCCACTTCTATATACTAACTTGCATCATTCTCACACATTTCAAGTCGCACAGTTTAAGTATCATCAATATTTGGGTGATCAGTCCAATATTGACAAAACTTAGTAACTAAATCATTCGTATTTACACGTTCGAACATTCTTCCGTTCCTCATACCAATTACATGCTTTCTAATTTTTGTACAAAAGAGATAACATTCTTATCAGTAAATTTTCTTTGTCGGTGTTTAACTTTTTTTTTGAACCATTATTATTAAAACCTCTCTTAACTACTTTATTCCTGTTTACACTGTTATTTATTTATTATTTTCATCTCTGTAATAATACTATTATCATTTACTCATTTATTTTCCTATACTTATTATTTTTATCGCTATTACAATGTTGTTATGATTTATCCTACACCTGTTAATGTGTTGCATGTTGCTGTGTTCAGTTTAAATTTATCATCTATGTTACCATGTTTTTTTTTATAGGATACGCTCATTGCATAACATTTCGTCGGTCGAAAACAGTAGTGGAACATTTCAAAATAAGTAAATGTGAGATATTGAGCAATTAAAAATTAGAAATACTTATTTTTCCATTTAGTAAGTGTTTAGAGAAAAAAAGGATTGTTTTTAATGTTGTTATATTTTGGTTAGACTTTACATTTATGATTTCTATTAAATTCATTCATTTTTTATTATTTGTTTTTTAAGTATAAGTAAATATTTGAAATGTTCCACTACTGAATTAATTTATTGACTGCAAATATCCCTCTGGAATGGAATATTTTTGAATGTACCAGTACTGAATTAAAAAACTATGTATTTTTCTCAAATAATGAACTAAATAAAAATGAAATCTAGAAAACCTTAGCAAATAATTGCATTTTTAGAGAATAATTAATAAAACACTTTTATAGTTTTATAACATTTTTTTTATTTATAAGTAAGAAAATATAAAAAAGGGAACAATTAGTCATCGTCAGCTCTATCTGAGGAAGCTGGCAATGTTTTATAATAATCCCAATAAACGCTTGGTATTACTTTACCATCACATAATGAAATCAAATCTTTCTTTTTAAGATTTGATATTCCAGGATGAGTGCGATATTTATTTGTCAAAACTAATGTTTCGTTGTTAGGCTTGCCCCGCATTTTATGCCGAACATTGAAGCATTTCATTGTACTGTCAGGTTGATAAGTGTCCAAGTAATAAATAGCAAAAGGATTAGTAGCTTGCATAAATATTTTCTTGATATCATTCCACACTTCACTCTCCTTCTGTAATTATTGTAAAAATTTTCCAAAAGTGTGAAATTAGTTCTTTTAAATCAAAAATTTCTGAATAATCTAAATCATGAACTTGGTAGGGATTACCTTTCTTCTTAGCAGATTGTATAATTGTCCTCCATTGAGATGGCACGAACACGGAACCATTTTTTAACATTCGGAATTTTTCTCTTTCAATAGTGGCATGAACGCTATCGCCCTCGTTCTGAGTGTGCCCGACAACAAAGTATTTATGTGTTATAGATTTAACACCCAACATTTTTAAGGCATAATATAGTATAATGACAATAAATACTTATTCCTATTTTGTGCTGAGCAGTTGTCGGTATAAAATATAACATGTTTTCCATGACAAAATTCTTTGAAAAACTGTAAAATACAAGATCTTACCTCGTCACATCCTTTTCCACCCAAAGTTTCGTCCCATAAATAACAATGTCCAGGTTTATTAACGATGTAATATACGGTACAATTATAAACATTAAGGAGTCTCTTATAAAAAAATAGCGAGTCATTACATTCTCTGCAAAGCTCTTTTTCTGTAAGATGATCTTTATAACTCTTTTCCATTTCTTGTTTCTGTTCTGTTGTTGCATTATTGTAAGAACAGCAAAGAGAGCACTGATCCTTCTTTGGTACATGAAAAGCTATATTAAATTCAGTTCTAAAAATGTTTTCATACGTTCCTTATTTAGCTTCAGGCTTACCTTCTTTATTACATCACTCTTTGTATTGCCTGTACTTCATACATAGATTTAAATCACCATCAAAATATTGTTTATTTGATGATGCTCGACAGTAGTGCGATTCCTTAGTAGGATATGAGTTTATGTGTTCATGGACTCCATCCTTAACAAAGTCAGGTAATAGTTTAGCTTTCCTGTTATGCTTACCTCTTAAATCTTCTAAAACTATACCCGATGATGTTGTTTTCTTACATAACGTCGTTATAAATGAGTGCCCAATATCCAAAGTGTGCATAAAGAACTTTTTACGTACCCTTATAATTAATTATACTGTAGGGGGTATTTTGTGAGTTGTGACCCTCTACATATAATTGATATGTAGTATATTAATGTAGAGGGTCACAACTCACAAAATACCCCCTACATTTTTGGTCCTTCGTGCTTTCGACGTGAACTAAGACTTGCATATTACGTCTACAATAGTTCAACAGTAAAGTGTATTTGAAAAAAAAAAAAAAAAAGATTAATTCGTGATTCTATCTGTAGTGTCACTTTGGTTGCTGGCCTCCCACAAGCGGGTCTCACCAGCTTGATTGAGGTGCATACTACGGTAAGAGTCGCAGTCACACGTATCTGAAACCAACTATTTACAACATCGTTCTTAAACCATGGAGAACCTACTTCAACAGCAGAGAACAATCATTGAATCTATCCTTAAAATTGAGGCTAACTTCAAAAAGGATTCTGATTCACGTAAGTCAGGAACATACATACAGAAAAGGTTGGATGCTTTGAATGCTCAATGGGAGGTGTTCAACATGAATCATGGTGTTCTAAAAAAAACAGACAGTGACTTGGATGACGACTATTTCATCAATGATACCTACACCACCACAAAGAAGCGGTACGAAGCGATTCGTGACATGCTGACGAACTACGAGGTGAAAACTGCGGAAACTGGAGTACCATCAAGGTCTGATGAGTTCATTAGCCAACAACGCACTAATTTCCGGGCGCTCTCTAGGGTGATTAAAAACATCAACACCAAAGAGTTGACAGAAAAGTGGGAAATTTGTGACAAACTGAATTCGCTGCAGTCTCGCTGGAAACTGATCGACGAGCTCCACTGGCAAATCGATAACCTGACTTCTGGCGGTGATGTAGGCTACGAAGAAGAGTTTTCTGCATACGAAACCTTGTACGAAACTACAAAAAGGGATTTGAATCGTAAGCTTAACTCAGTATCTCAACAGCATCAGCAAGTGCCTACAATTGAGATTCCTTCTTTTTCTGGTAATTATACCCAGTGGCCTACATTCATGGACCTCTACTGTGAAGCCATCCACAACAATGTCATGTTGACAAAAACGCAAAAGATGCAGCACCTCAAGGGCAAACTTAAAGGCGAGGCGGAGCGCATCGTACAGCATCTTACAGTATCAGCTGATAATTACGACACCTGTTGGGAGATACTCACCCATAGGTACAACAACCGACAACTTTTGTTTACAAAACATATACAAACCCTTATGGGACAACCGGCGTTGCAAACACAGAATGCATACGAGCTGAAGAAGCTACATGACACAAGTGTCGAGACCATACATGCTATTCACAATCTGGGCATCGACACAACGACTTGGGATCCGATCCTGGTGCACATTCTCACTGGCAAATTGGACTCCGACACGTATGCAGCCTACATGGAGATCAGAAAGGCTCCGAGAGAGCTACCTTCCTTGGAGGAGCTGATAAACTTCTTGGAAAACAAGTTTACTGCGCTTGAACCTGTTCAAAAGAAGAGACAGACACCTAACAAGTCAAACAATTCGACCAACAAGGAGGCAACAGCTCAATTTAAGAAGGACTTTAACAACACCAACAGGCGTAGTTTTCTTCGAGCATATCATACAAGCACAGACAAAAATTGCCCACTGTGTAAAAACAATCATATTTTACTCTACTGCAAGTCGTTTCAAGACATGTCACCGGAAGACAAAATGAGGTCAATTTCGCAACTACATATTTGTCGCAATTGCCTGTACTTACACAACGACAATAAATGCAACTCCAACAAAAGATGCCGCGTGTGCAAAGAAGCACACCACACAACATTGCACGATATTTACCGCAAAGTTGAAATCGCGGTCTCAAATAACGTTATACCTAGCAACAAGCCACATACGTCACAGCAAAAGGCAAACCACGTGTCTGGAAATTATAACGAAGTCCTACTAGCGACCGTTCAATTAAAGGTGATGGCAGCTGATGGATCGACTGTTCAATTGCGATGCCTTCTCGACCAAGGATCACAGATAAATCTAATAACTGAAGATGCTGCGCAACGGCTGGGACTGCAAAGACAAAATCGAAACGCCACAGTCTCAGGCATAGGGACGTCAGCACATCATAGCAACGGAACCGTACGGTTAGACTGTGAGTCTTTGTACGGAGGCCATTCATTTACAATCGAAGCCATGGTAATGGCCAACATGCTCAGCAACCTGCCTAATTACACCTTCGAAAAACAAGACTGGCCACATATTCAGAACATACAACTGGCGGATCCCGACTTCAACATCTCGAGACCAGTGGACGTTCTGTTAGACGCTGGAGTGTATGCTGACATAGTAATGAGTGGTATGCTACGAGGACCCTCACACGCACCCATGGCTCAACAGACAAAAGTGGGCTGGGTACTGCTGGGCAATATCAAAACCTTCAACTGCCACGTGCTCATTAATCTTGACGATGTATCTCGATTTTGGGAGATGGAGGAGATAACCGAAACCAATCACAATCTAACATCAGAGGAAGAATACTGTGAATCTATTTATTCAACCACAACAACAAGAAAAGAAGACGGACGATATGCAGTCAGACTTCCAATGAAAATAAACTACGAACAAACCTTGGGCACTTCTAAGCCACAGGCAATCGCACAATTTCGGCAGTTAGAAAAACGATTGGCCAAACAGGAAACATTTTCTACGTCATACAAGAAGTTTATTGACGAATATCTACAACTCGGCCACATGAAGCCATGCACTGAACACCATAAGCCAAGCTACTTCTTACCTCATCACGGCGTACAAAAGCTGGACTCAACAACTACAAAATTGCGCGTAGTCTTTAATGCCTCTGCCAAGACAAGTACAGGACAAAGCTTGAACGATCTCATGGAGTGCGGGCCTAACCTCCAACAAGACCTACAATCTATGATTCTACGTTGGCGAGCCTTTCAATACGTCTACACTGCAGACATTGAGAAGTTTTACCGTCAAGTACTGATACACGATGAAGATCAACACCTGCAAAAAATTGTATGGCGTGACTCTGCTACAGATCTCATCAAAGAATACCAACTGTGCACTGTAACATATGGTACCAAAGCTGCACCATTTTTGGCAATGCGCACCATAATACAACTCGTAATGGACGATGGACACCGCTATCCTCTCGCGGCAGAGATCCTTACTCACCAGCTGTATGTGGATGACCTACTTGGTGGCAGCAACGACATGTTAGAAGCACAAGACGCTCAAAACCAATTGATTGACCTGTTAAAAGGCGGTGGGTTCAATCTTCGCAAATGGGCTAGTAACCACCCCAGATTGCTTCAAACTTTACCTGAACATCTCATAAGCCAGAATATGTTTGACTTCAAGGACGCAGAGAGTAACAAAACACTCGGCTTAACCTGGAATCCGCACACTGATCAGTTTACATTCAAGGCGCCACTTAGTAACACACGTGACGTCACAACGAAGCGGACATTGCTCTCTGATCTATCAAAATTATATGACCCACTTGGTTGGCTGTATCCGGCTCGAAGGACCAAAAATGTAGGGGGGTATTTTGTGAGTTGTGACCCTCTACATATAATTGATATGTAGTATATTAATGTAGGTTGTATCTTCTACGTTACGGGATGTGGTAATTAAAACTGTGTCCGTTTCCGTAGAGAGCGTTTATTGTACTGAAAATACTTATGAATAAAAAATGTAATTATAGTGAACGTGTCGCGCGCGCAGGCGCGATATCAGCATTATTTTCTAAACTGTTGAAATATCATGTACTTGCTCGTACATATACCATCTATTGTTAAATGATAAGCCGCATTAATAGATCTTTTACTCTGAGCATTATGTAGCGAATATTTCGGCTTTACTTCTTTCATAGCATTTTTGACAAAATCTCGCTGTCTATTCAAATCACCTAATATCCAAAAATTATTGAATATTACTAATCTTTGCTGCTCATTAATCTTCAGTGTACACTTCAACCGACATTTGTCTCCACAACCAGGTTTTAATTGTTTAGCATTAACTAATTTTCCTTTCTCAGTAGTAAGCCATACCTGAAGTTTTTAAACATTTATTTTTATTTTTCTTCCATGCCTCGGGATTTCGTTGTCTCTTTCTTGTCAACTTCTTCTTTTCTTCCGAAGCATTATTTTTAGAAAGCGGGGTTGATGGTGACGGCTATCTGTTAATTAGTATATTATTTTCTTTATCTTCTCCTCCCCCTGAAATTTCAATAAGCTCGCCACCTAAGCTAACAAAGACCTCGTATAAAGCTATTACATAAATAATTTAGAACTATGAAATACATGTTGATGGGCAGCAAGCTAGTTTATTAAAATAGTATAAAAAATCATACTTAGATTAGAAGCTTCATTTGCTGGCTCATGCTGGCTGGCTACGAACCTATCGTCTGTACAACTTTCCATATTTAATGCCTGCTCTACACCTTAAAAGAAATTCAAACAGTTAAATATACACACTATACCAAAACACAAAAATAATATATGCATATAGGTACGTAGGTACCTCTATTATGTACTTAAATACATGAAGATAGGTACGTACTTCGATTATGTACTTCATTCAGGGGCCAAGAATTCTCTTCAACATATTGCTGTATTTCACCAACTTCATTATTATTAGATATAAAAATAGTGTCTGGAGATTTTTCTATGTTCAATGTCTGTTCAGCATCTTAAAAGCAATAAAAACAGTTAATAGGACAGAATGTTTAATAACATTTATTAGATATAAAACACAAAAGTTAATAATTATTTACCTAGACTTTGTACATTTTGTGGCAAAGAATACTCTTCAACTTGCTTTATCTCACTTTCTGTAGAATAAAAGTGGTTAAAAATATAGCCAAAGCGTGCAAAATTTTAAAAGTAACGACTCTTTACAAAATACACAAACGTTACAAATAGAATACACACCTTTGTTTTCAATATTGGCGTCTTCATGGATTACCATTTGCAACATTTTCATTGATCTTTCATATAACTTAGACACAGACCTTTTTGCAGATTGTATTACTTTTGATAATACGGTCTACCAAGCACAGCGTGCATGCAGCGCGTAACTAAACAAACGCGCGCGAGACTCGAGCGAGATCGAGAAGCGTGATGGAATAAATTTAATTCAACTTTTGATTTTGATTTTGAGATTGGAACCGTATTGGAACATTTCGAAGTGTCCCAATACTGAATAATACTATATGCACAGAGTAGGAGTGGAACTTTCATTTTTAATCGACTTCTATGTGGAGTTTGACTTATTCCGATACTGATATAGAATTGGCACTAAAATAGTAATATAACACTCTTAAAAAGTTAAAAACCAAATTTTCAGAGATGTTCCACTACTGTTTTCGACCGACGATTTTATAATATCATATTTTTAGAAACATCAGTATCATTCGTAAGAAATGGTTAGCAGACCTTTTATATTCACTGTGTAAAGACTGACTCTTGTTATATTTACCTACCTAACTAGTTTCTTGTCTTTCAAAAGAAATAAAAGTGTTATTTTAGCCAGAAAATATGAAAAATATAATTGATAATAAACGTTAAAATAATCGCATCGTATGATCGTGCCTAATGTCAACTTAACGTGTACAATTTGTTACTACATAAGTAGTAGTACTCATATAAATGAGTGCGAGTAAAAAAAATGTACCTTAAACTAATATTTTTAATTTCTTATTTATTCAGAAGTCCACATGGTTACATCGTTAAAAGTTATATCGCTTTTATACAGATCGAAAAATATTACTGAAACTATGTTATATATTATATCGTGTATACAGAATAATCGAAAATCACATTATAAGAGTTATCACCTTTACACAATGATACAATAATTTATTCAAACATTTAAAAGGAAGTTTTTTATATTTTACATAAGTTATTATATAAATTTAAGATTTAATGCCTTTAAAAAAAATTAAAACTTATAATGATAGTGAAATGCTTCTAACCCTTTAAAATTTGGATTCGAGAAAAAAAAATCAACGAAATGTATCACAGTGTTATTTTAAATCAAGTGCGTAAAATTGGAATCTATTATTTTATTATTTCATTAATTGTTTGGCAGGACACAGTAAAAAAATAATACAAAACTATAACTTCATAAATGAGAATATAAAGTCTGGTCTGGCGCCTTAATAGAAGTGCCACATAAGTGCTTAAAATTCAACTTAATTTTTAATACTGTATTATAATTGTTTTAGTTTTTTTTTGTAGGTAATAAAATATTTGATAATAAAGTATATTGTGAATAATCTGATAACTAATTTCAACTTAATTCTAACTTTAAAAACATAATAGCAAAAAAAACAATCTTAAATTGTTAAATAAAGTTTGAAATAGAATTAAAATCACATAGGTGCGAAGTTACCTCATAATTTGTTCTTTTCGGCTCAATTTTTCTATCTTCTTATCGGTTAAGGCTTGCAGGAAGTTTCTTCTATCTTAAATTTGTGGTCTCACCATGTAATTCGTTTAATCTTCATGTAATATTTGAAGCTGTCATAATATTTGTTTCTGAAGTTGATCGTTCCCGTTTTTTTTTCGTAACATTTTTCTTCTTTTTCTAATAGGTTTTATTAGCATATCTCCTTAAAGAAATAATAACCTTGTCGCCTCTTCTTATGTCTCCGTTTCGGCTTACTTGTCACATCCGGTAGTGTCAATTCAATAGTTGAAAATTGTTCCTTTAGTTTTATATTTATTTTTCCATGTTTCTTTAACTATTTGTGCAGGCCGCGGCGGTGCGCGTGCCTTGTCGCCGCGCACCGCCTGGCAGGGTCGCCATGTAATGTTGAACGGTTGGTAAATGAAAGGAAGACGTGTTTCTCTACTCAAGACTTTAATTATACTGTCACTTAAACCTAAGAGTAAGTACATTTATTAACATATGCTAGTAGGGTGGAGGCACATACACTACAGTTTAAACAGCAATTACAAATACAAAAATACAAATACAAAATATATTATTTCTTTAACTAAGTGTACATAAAATGCAGAGTATTATTTATAAGCAGTTAAAACATAACGACGATATATATATATATATATCGTTCCGTTTTCGTGGAGACTGATGTGGTTATAATGTTGACCTTTGACTTTTTACATATTATAATGCCATAATAAAATTTTCATTTTTCTGCTTGATTGTACATGCGCAGTGGACTCTATTTAATTTCATGTTTGGTGGCGCGACCTATACTCGTATATTATAACTACAGAAATAGTAATAATAAGATAACAGAAATGAATTAGCGCTCGATTACTTCTAAAGCCGATGTTGTTGCCACATCTTACCGTATTATAAACATACGCACAATAGACAATGATATCTAATGTTTCAAATTACATTGCTTGGCGAATTTGTCAACGTAGAACAAAAGAAACAAATGAAAGTTTAAAAAAGGTAAAAATCATAATTAAGTATTCATCAAGATGTAAGTTAGTTAAAACAATGATAATTAGTAAATAATCAACTTACCGATGAAATTTTATGCCTTTATTAGTTGAATTACACGTCCTTGATGAGCTTTTACAACTCATTATGCTGCAGTTCTCCATTATAAATTTATAATTCACGTACGACGTTCCGCGCGCAACTAAATCAGAAAATGGTGAATTATGTTCATCAATACATGATAGCAGCGACAAGGTCACCCGTCTATTCAACTTCAATTATCTTATTATTACGATTTCTGTCATTATAACATACACAAAATACAATTTTTTAGCTTTAACTTAATAATTAAGAAAAGGACAGAGAGAGCCAATTCGACTATAAAACTGAATTGAATTAACTAAGTGGACTGTATGGAGACAATGAGTTTATCGTTTGCCTATCCAACTAGCTGACAAACTCTAAGCTGAGAGACTCGTCGTTCTTGGTCTCCTGGATTCTTGTTTTGCGCATGCTGTCTCACGTTGCACATTCCGATTGTATTTAAAAAAACACACGTATGGGTTGTTGTTCACGCCACAAGTGGGGTTACCAGTCGAATACAATTTGGAACCGTTAGGTGGTAATTAACTGGTCGTGTAAACGTGGTAAGATCAAGAATGTGACGCTCTGTGGTCACGTATGACGTTCTATGATAGACTATTAATAGAAACTAGGACTGATATGAGATGTTCGTTCTCTCTTGACCGGCGACCTTCTCTCTTGACCGAGGATCTTCTCTTTTGACGGATGATCTCTCTAGATCGACGATCTTCTGTAATGATCTTCTGGCGTTAATCCCGCTCGAAAGTAATTAAAAAGGGTGGGAAAGCAAGTGGGTTATATACAATATGTAACTTAATTAACGCACACCCTCAGACACCCCAATTAGTATATTATGTTATAATCATAATACATACACTGAATTTTGGTTAAACATTTTTATGCACTGATTATTTATCAAATTAGTTATACAAATTCTGGAAGAATGTTGTGGTCACAGTATAAATCCACGAACGCAAAGACTTTAATGTGCTCGAAATAAAGTTCATTTTTCTTTATTTTTATTGAATGATAGAATTAGTAATAATACAAATGAAACTGCACTCTTAAAAGTCTTATTGCCTTAAGTTGAGGTCTATTTCAGTTTGTTTTAACTGTACATATTTAGTGTGACTGTAATTTACGTAGTTTTAAAATTTTTTGGGATAAAAAATTACCTACATTAAAAATGATAGGAATCGATTCAGTAAACGATTCTGAACAAACTACTTTCTCAAAGTGCGTTAATTATGTTACATGTTGTATAAAACTGAACTGAGTTGACCGAGTTGACTGTACGAAAAACTGACTGAAATGAGTTGACTGTTTGCCTATCCAACTAGTTGATGAATTTTTAGCTAAGGGACTGTTCTATTAAGAAAGATGAAATGGCTTAAGAAACAGTTAATTAAACTATTTATAATGCTCGTGGCAGTTAATGACACTAAAACTATAACTATAACTAGGGAGCACTATTGAGGCACTAAAGGAATTATTTTTTCTTTCTTCTTATTTTTGTCTGGAGCTCTATTTTGCCGCGAATGCTTTTTCGCTGGCCTCACCGTGCTCGCCTGTCTCCGGTCGACGGTCTCCCAAGCGGGCTTGAAGCGCGCTGATTTGTCGTGCGCGTCAAATGATTATGTAGCAGTGCATGTGCCATACACGTTGCCATCCGTAAAAAAGGAAATGTATGAAACTAGGTGCTTGATATCGTTGGTACCAGTTATACAACAATATGTATGTAATAAAACGATAAATTATAAGCATAAATAAATGTTTTTTTTTTATTTCTGCAATACATGGGACAATCATAAAAACATTTTTTAACTAAAAAACGAAGAAGACATCGTAAACAAAACGGTGGGACCGTCTCTTTGTCCGATGGTGGAAGAGAAAGGCACATAATTCATGCAATTTCTGATCACATTCTCGCACGCGTCAACACTCACGCATCCGTCAACATACGGTGGCCTACCAGATCGTCACTTCAGCTAGTAGGAACCGTCAAACACTTCGCTTACCAAAACGAGGCCACAATTAGAGAACTTTCCATTCCCATCGGTTTTCGATCCTTCGAGCAATATTTAGATCTTACTTCCACTTCTCTTTTTCTTTAATTCTTGTTCCACATTGGAATCTAAACCACGATCGCTGTCGCGCGAGTGTAGTAAATACCGTCTCTAAGCATACCTCTTGGGAATACATCCTAAATGCTTGTCTAGTGCTTACGTATTTAATGCATGGTAATTATTAAAATATGCATCTTAGCAGTTTCAACGCTTGTAAGATTCCTAATTGCTTTGCAGCATACACTGCAGAACTAGGTCTGCTTGCTAATTTAGATATATTGAAGCTTTTCACTTAATATAATTCCAAGAAAATTTTACTGAATGTAGATATAGCATTATTTACTTCCTTCCTTATATTTTAGTAAATGTCGTTTTAGTTGAAAATTAATGATATAATATCATAATCAAATAATACTTTATCATAGTTATCCCCTACTATGTAAGGTAGATCATTAAATACAGATAAGTAACAGAAAAGGGTCGAGAATTGAACCCAGAGGTACGCCAAATTATACTATCGAACCGAAGGAACTTATACAGTTGATAAAAAACTGTTTGCGTTCTGTTACTTAAATAAGAAATTACAAAATTTAGAGCACTATTTCATACGCCATAGTGTTATAATTTTCTGATTAATGTCTCATGGTGAACACAATCAAAGGCTTTGGATAGGATATAGAATATACCAAAAGTATCCTGTAAATTCTCCCATGCATTGGAAATGTATTTGATCAGCTTACAACAGTTGCTAGCGACCCCTTGTGCAACCGAACTGATTTCTATAAAATAAATTATTTTCATTAAAAATTGACAATTGATCAAGGATATTTTTTATTATTAGTCATAGCAGTACAGAAATAGGTATAAAATTAAGAATGTGCACTACCCTATATCCGAACGTCCTGTGGGTGTCATAAGAAGCGAATGTAATAATAACTAACCTGTAGATGCCAACCCACCCAAATGGCGCCTATGGTAGGATTAAGGGTGAATTAAAGGGGTTTAATTTAATTGCCTAATTGAAGGGGTCTCGCCCTCGTAAGGTAATTAAAGGGAGCCTATGTTCAACAGAACCGTGCTTTGTGGCTTTCCTTGCGCAGCCCTATTTTTAGAAGTGGACTTGTGAAAGGATGTAATGATGATGGTGATGAATAATATGTTCAGCAGTAGACTGTGATAAGCTGTTATGAATAAAAGAAATGAGTACAAACGAATCACGTCCTACTCTCCTTCATTAGAATACCTACCAACAACAAAAAAATATATACATTGCTGTTTTCACTCACACAACTTTAAAAAGCACTAGATTAGCTTCCTAAGGGGTTAAGGATACCAAACTTACCTTATAAGAGTAGATAGTGCTGACTTTGAAAAAAAAAAACATTTTAGTATTTCTAAAACGTTATATACTTCTCTGATTCAAGCAAAACTTGCAATTGTAATGTATTCACAGCTTGCGTTTAACTCCCACAGGACGCAACATTGTAAGTTATACTCGCATAATACAAAATGTCAGAGTTAGATACAAACTTTTATACTACTGTTATAAATGCTTTTATTACAATGATACCCGCAATTTTATAATTCATATTTGAATACTTACATACCTTTAGAATGTAAATGAAGAAAAATATTGTGGATTGTTAAAATAACATGTGTATAGAAATATACTACAACCGCAGAACACATTTATGGACATCTATAGAGGAGGCCTATGTTCAGCAGTGGATTTTTACCAAGTACGAACACCTAGGCGATCACGGATTGTGTACGGAGTGTTTTCGGGGGTGTCGTAACAGGCAACAGAGGGAAACTGAATTAGTAGATGCTTAGCATATTACTGACAGCAAATGAAAACAAAATGCGGTTGCCAACACCAAGCGTGGCAATTGGCAAAATCTCCTCGATAAGACTTTCTATGGGAGCAACCTATTTCTAGCGGTAGACTTTTGATAGACTGTAATTATTATGATGATTGTAAACAGCGGTAAAAACTCTTAAGATATTTTTTTTTCATCAGATCATAAAAATCCATTGCTGGGTGTAAGCTCTCCCTTTGTAGGCAAAATCTATCGTTATCCTCATGCTTACAAAGTACTAATAAAAAATATATTTTTTAGCATCATTTCCTTTGTTGAAAACTTTAAAACACACTTTTAAGAAGTTACAAATAATCACAGCTTCATAATTACTCTTTCTTTATTAGGAAATAATAAACTAAAATTTGTAAATTAATAACTAATAATAAGTCTTCAAGTACCGGAACAAACTTGTGTCTGAAGCTGAGTCTTTGTTAAACAAAGTCTTGGATTAGGGACTACATCCCTAGTAGAATAGTCTAGTTCCCTTATTGCCTCAGTCATTATTGGAATCCTCGGCGTCGATACATCGAATGATGCAGTTTTGTGGTCACTTGGAAGAGAAAGCCAAAGGGACAGTATTTTTTTATAGGATAGGGTGACAAACGAGCACACAGTCCATCTGACGGTAAGTGGTTGCTGCAGCCCGTATACATCTATTTGCGATTAGATGCGTTGTCACCTGTTAGGACTATGATGGAACGCCTCGTTTCCAGTAAAAAGGGTCTCCGGTTCTCTACATTTACCATTCGAAACACAGCAGCATTAAGCTACTATTTTGCGCTGGTATTCTGTTAGAGTATGAGCCTTCCCCGGTCGAGCCGACCCATTCGTGTCACTTGACCCCATCCAGCACAGAGCGGCTTGAATCGTCGACGACCGAGTCCTCTCTGATTAGCTCGATTCACTGGCGCTGTTAAGAGATGTTTCATCCCTCTGCATTTTCTATCGCATCTACCACGGGAAGTGCTCTGAGAAGTTGTTCGGCTTAATTCCAGCCGTCAAATTCCACGAATGAACATCGCGACAAAACTCACATACCAACCAGTTATCGTGAGTTTTGTCGATGGTGATCTGGATGCTTGGCGGTCAACCACTGTACGTTTTACTAAGAGTTTTCTTCCCCATACGAGCTCTCTCTGGAGTCGTTTACCACCAGCGATATGACTTAGGGATCTCGAAGAAAAGAGCTTAATCCTTTATAAAACGCTGGCATCGCACCTGGGATTCCCCTGGTGTTGTAGTTTTTCAAGTGCGGCGGTAGTCACTAATCATCAGGTGAGCCTTAAGCTCGTTTACTCCCTCTTCTATAAAAAACAATATTTCAAATACACGCTACAAGTGAGAAGGATATCCGGTTAACATCAGTCACCATAGGAAGCACAGTAGCTGTTATTCACGATGTATTCTGTGCGAAGTAATGAAAAGGCTTCTGACGGAATTGACGGACAGAGAGAGAAAACTCAGGTCGTAACGCTGTTGTGAAGTCTCTTTTATTTATTAAGCGCTCAACAGCGGCTTGGGTTATGACGAACATCACTATTGTGCCGGCCTACGAATACCCTCCCATAATCATCGCAGATACGCCATAACAACGATATTATCTTGAAACCTTTTAATTCAACGAAACTTTCCTAACAACTATAAAACTAGCCATGCAGAAACGCACCGCAGCAACAAATCTACGGAAAGCCTCGATCAGTGTTATTAACAGGGTCGAAACGGCGTTGGAAAATAAAGAAATAGCTCTTTTGCCTTTCTAGAGCACCTTCGACAGTAGCCCCGCCCCAAATCACTGCTGGACATCTAAAAATCTTAACCCTCACCACCACCAGATGGGTGCAGTCGATGCGTTCAAACAGAAAGGCATAAAGTAGTCTTCTTTGAACGAATTTAGTTGCAGGTGTCCGTGGACTGCATAGATAAGCTAGTATAAACGGAAGTAGATACGCCACTGAGGTTTTAAAATTATTAATTACAAGCTACCTCCTGAAGATGGCGCTGATGCTTTACATGGTCACCCACTAGAGGGCATAACTATACAACACGTAACATAACGCACTTTGAGAAAATAGTTTGTTTAGAATCGTTTACTGAATCGATTCCTGTCATTTTTAATATAGGTAATTTTTTATCCCAAAAAATAATTAAAACTACGTAAATTAGTCACACTAAATCTGAACAGTCGAAACAAACTGAAATAGACCGTAACTTCAGGCAATAAGACTTTTAAGAGTGCAGTTTTATTTGTATTATTACTAATTCTGTCATTCAATGAAAATAAAGAAAAATGAACTTTATTTCAAGAACGTTAAAGTATTTGCGTGCGTGGATTTGTACTGTAACCACAAGATTCTTCCGGAATTAGTATAACTAATTTGATAAATAATCAGTGCATAAAAATGTTTTTCAGTGTATTAATTATGATTATAACATAATATACTAATTGGGGTGTCTGAGGGTGTGCGTTAATTAAGTTACATATTGTATAGTATCTAATTTATTCATTTAACTGAACTGTATTTAAGTAGGAATGTTGAGGAAAAAGTTCTTCAACCTGTAATAAAATAGGAAGCTGTTATTTATTGCATTTATTATCAGTTTTACAATAGGTATACTTGTTGGTCGTCCTTGTACTTTGATCCGTTGAATGAGTCGAACAGTTGATCAATCATATTTATAAAGATAGCTGTCCCTCTGCATTTCTCTGGCAATGCTTTATTTCCTGTAAAAAAACCAGTATTAACAATAGTGCTATTTTAACAGATTGTTGTTTGCTTATAAATACAGAGGCTAGTTTAAACTACAGTAGCCAGCCATATACATATTACATTTAATAACTAATATACTAAGCTAGCACCCGGCGCATTGCAGCCGCGGAAGAAATAATTCTAAAAATATTATTTTAAATTTGGAAGAGTAATATTGTTTAATTAGGAACTTTCAAATAAATTTATGGGTACGATTCGCGCACCACATATTGTTAGTTAATTGTACTACGTCTACAAAATTCGCAAAAGTGCAAACAATAAGTTGAACAAAGTTTTAGCGCAATCCTATCAACCGTATGACAGCGCATTAAATCATCATCATTATCATCATCATTACAGCCCTTCACAAGTCCACTGCTAAACATAGGCTCAGGACCGTGCTTTGTGGCATTACTTGGGGGAGGCCTATGTTCAGGCGCATAAAATAAGAACAAATATTAATTTTTACGTATTAGGTATAATATACACCGCGGGCGAAAAGCTAGTAGTATATATTATGTACTACTAGCTTTTCGCCCCGTGGTGTTTGTTACGTAACCAAATTTCAAGTAACAAAATTCGTTTAATAATTTTTTACCATACATATAAGCCGTGGTAGCTCAGATGGTTAGCGCTTGCTATAAATTTCACAGTACGCGATCAACCCGAGTTCGATCCCCGCCAGCAGCAATGAAATTGTCAATTGCAATTTTAAGTGCTGTTTTACTACGTGCTCGGGAGTGAAGGAAAATATCGTGAGGCTGCATGGCTAAGAAATAGGAAAAATATATTTCGAAGACATATTTTTATTTTTTTATAGGATAGGGTGACAAACGAGCACACAGTCCACCTGATGGTAAGTGGTTGCTGCGGCTCATAGACATCTACATCTATCCTCGATTACAAATCAAAATGCAGATGCGTTGTCATCCGTGAGGACTAAGATGGAATGCCTCGTTTCCAGTAAAAGAGGTCTCCGGTTCTCTACACTCCCATGAGAAACACAGCAGCATTAAGCTACTATTTCACGCTGGTATTCTGTGAGAGTGTGGTCCTTCCCCGGTCGAGCCGACCCATTCGTACTACAACCATACTACTAATATAACTGCAGCATGGCTCTACCACATATAACACACATATGAATTTTGCCAACACGCATTGGGGCAGCGAGGGGACACCTCCTAGCCCCAAAACCCTATCAGAAATGAAGGGAGGCCTGTGCCCAGCAGTAAATCGTAAATAGGCTGTAACTTTAACCTTAACATATTATACATCTAAAATGGCTCCATAAGTGAAAAGTGAAACTTTAACCTTAACATTTTTAAAGTCTAAGAAAAATACGTGTGGCACTCGGTGACTGCCGCGGTAAAGCTATTTACTTAGCATTTTTTTATCAACTTATGCAATTATAATTATTTATTTATTTTATTTATGTAGTTAAGTCTTTGATATTAAATCAAGTTACACTTTTTGAGCGTGGTGACCGATAAGAAAACAATTTTTTTCTCTTATTGAGTAAATGAGAAGTTAATATTGTTTAAAATATTTTTAATATCTTACAATACATGTAGGTTATTCAAGGAATTTTTATCATTGAGTTAGCAGCTAGTGTACACGAATACGTCTAGTCGCACGCACACAAACACCGTGCCGAACTCTGCCGAGTCCCTAAACCCCCCCTGCAATACTTAAAAACATTCATAATTTTTCTTCACAACACCCTCCGCCCTCCTAATTGTATTGCTCTTTATCCCCTTTATCATAAAAACAAGACAATGGTCTGCAATTTTCTCAGTATCTCTTTCAAAATCAATTATCTGATCAATACTCCTATTATAATATAAACCAGGAGCTAAGGCAATCTCTTCAAACATTAAGTTGCATAGCCTTTGTTCAGGTGTCATTTTATACATTTTTTTTCTTTAAATTATTTAGCTGTTACCCGCGTCTTCCGCGTCCTCAAATGAACTATCCATTCTTTTTGAATTGAAAGAAAACTGAGTTTTATGGATTTGTCAGAGATACAGCCATTAAAAGGAAACTGAGCAAAATTGATTAGTCAGCCTATTTAAATGTTTTGAAACGCAGCATATAGGAAAGCATGAAAATAGCCTGTTTATTCCAAATGGAAATGGGATATTTTTTAATTAAAGGAAACTGAGCATAATTATCCATCAGGGATGCAGATTTTTGAAAAGAAACTGAGCTAAATTAATTCGTCAGAGATGCAGTTTTCTGAATTGAAAGGAAACCGAGCCAAATAAAAGATTCATCAGAGATGCAGCCTTTTGAATAGAAAGGAAACTGAGCTTAATAGGTCCGTCAGAGGTGCAGCATTTGGAATTGAAAAGAAACTGAGCTAAATAGGAAATTTTGAATTGAAATGGAAGATCTCGCCATCAAGATCGCCAAAAAACGCACCACCGTGTCCTGTACGCCAAAGCGAAAATTAAACAAAAATACCTACGAAAAACTAGTGTTGCCAAGAGTTGATATATCGATAACACAAAATAATTTGATTTTGCTGGTTTTTTACGCAATAAATGACTCTTTATGATCTGGTATGTTTTATTTAATCTTGTGCTGTCTTCCACTCCTTTTATATATGTACTTTGTACAAAAAATCTTACTAAATAAAAACAAATACTAAAAAATAAAATAGTAGTAAACCACAACACTACTCTTCATCGTGATGACGTCACTGTCACGACTGGACGACAACGGCGTAGCTGACCTTGCTTTTTGAAACTTTCTTAGAGATGTAGCCGTGTCGCACGTTGTGTATCGATTTCGAAATCGATCTAACCAAAATATACAGAGATCGACTCAAAATATTTTATGTGTCGGGGGAGGCGTAGGCCAAGTAAAGCACAGAAGAAAAGTCTTACGTTCTTATGACAATGGGGGGTCTGATATGATGCTGATGCTACCAGATGATTTTGAGATAATCATAACCATAATCTTTCTTGCAATAAAATGGTAAATAATAGATGTGATGTTTTTTAAAAAAAAATCTCCGCATTTGAACCCAGCTTGGGCGTAGCAAAATATAATAAAAATATTAAATATTATTCTTAAACTACAATATTAGGTTTCATTAATAAATTACATTATTAGATTATATTATTTTAAAATTCTGTAAATTAAATTAAATTAATAACACAACGTCAAGTAAAAATAATAATTATTATTATAAATAATAATAATGGAATAAAAAAAATTAAATTAAATTATATAGGCACAGGCCGAAGTTGTCCACACAAATTAAATAATATTTGTATCAAAATATTCATTTAAATTATAGAAACATTTTTCAATTAAATATAACTTTAATTTGGGTAAAAATAATGTAGTACTCGGTTTTATTAAAATCAATCTCTAGGTTGTGATGTGTCAGCTAATTTGTAACCTGGTTCAATACTTGATTCAATTTACTTATTTAAATTCTGGTCTTTTGTACGCGGAAAAAGAATGGAAATGTCATCAGCAAATATAATAGAGGTTTCAGTCAATACCCTAGATTGAGAAAGAAAATCGCACAACACAAAATGTAAAATTGCTCTTCATACCTTAAGAAAAAAGTAATCATTTATTATTTGTAATTTTATATTATTAAAATAAAAAAAAATCATCATCGACGATTTCCAAAATGCGAGTTCTGAGGAATCGTTCATGTTGCACTGCTTTTTCCGCTATTCGTTAATGACGTCATCAAGGTGTCAAATGAACTGATAATCGATGACGCGCTGAGGATGCGCCAGAGTTGAGATATTAGATTTATTATGCGAAGTTGATTTGATGAAATTTTTCTTTTATTTATGTAGCTGATGATAGTTTTATATTTCTTACCTTTTGTTTTACTCAAATATCAATAATAATTTAAAAAATAACACCTTTGCGTTTAATTTTGAATAGTTTTCAATAAATCTATATGCCTAACCCATTACAACACTAGCGGTCAAATATATAGGCGACTTTGGCGTGCTGGACATAGTATTTGCATAGATAAAAATCCATTTTTTTTTAGTTCAATGTTTCTTAGTACTTGTGGCTCTAGACTTGTTTTTTTATACTCACATGTTGGGTTATTCTTTTTTTGAGGAGTGTAGAATTAAAATACCAGTACTAATTTTCCAATATCTATCTATATTTCATATTTTTGTGGGCCGGGTTTTTTTGTCAACTATAGACGTCGTTGGCGCTCAGAGCTCACAGGTGCCCGTCAAGTATAGGCGACTTTGGCGCTCAAAAGGTTAATTGATTGTGGGAATTTTGGAAAAAAAACTAACTGAACACTATTTTAAGACGCTACTGTACACAATGTTATATGTTTTTCCATTTGGGGAAAGTATGTGGAGATTCTGGGCATTTGACACACGCGAACATGCTACATACAGCTGACCATGAGAGAAGCACGGTTTTTCTAAGTTGACCCCGCTACCTGTAATGTTTGCCCTTGCGTTTTATTAATTGTCATTGCAAAACTAAGCCTAATAGGGAACTGCAACCTTTTGAATTGAAAAGGAAGATCTGTGGGAATTATAGGGATCCGTGGTATAATAACTTTTCACCTTTTCCTACGCCTGTCAAAATTGTAGCACCGATTATGTTCCGTCCAAGATGTGTCACACACAGCCTTGTATGTAACGGACATAACCGAGGAGCGTCTAAATTTCGCATAAGCATGACTAGGACGCGGGCTGCGATGAGGGCACACCTGACAACTCTAGAGAATTTAGAAACTCTACGGGATATGAAGTGCTCTGTTCTGTGTCCATAACTGTGTCTACTGACAAATACTCTGCTATTTCTCCTGCTACTTCGCTTAATATATCTGAATTTATTTTGTTAACGCTGTCATTTTTTTGGTGCAAGAATCGCCAAACTTTGTCTTCATGAATGTTGTTCGTTAAATAAACGCTCGCAATTAATTCGGAATGACTCTGTACTAAATTACAAAAATCTCTCGTCAATT